CCGCCGGTAGAGTTCCCTGGGGGAGTCTTTAAGCGTGGTCCGCGGGCGTTCGCGGGCGTGCAGGTGCAGGCATGTTCGCGAGGCGCGGGCGCCCGCGGGCGGACGCGGGCGGGGCGCGGCGTGGGCGCGGGCAGGCGCGGCACGGGCACGTGGGCGGGACATGGGCGGGCGCTGGGCTTGCACCGCCGCATCTTCCGCATCACGAGTGACGAGAACGGTCCGCCGGCGCGCGCTGTATTGATTTCGATAGTAATGGGGCAGCAGGGGACAGGATAACGCTCACTTAGGCGGTCTTACCATACAACCGGAAAACTTTTTCGCTACACACTGGCCAGGGGCCATACACGTCATACCGCGGTCCCTTCATGCGCTCCTGAAGCCCTGTCATGTGCGCGGCAAAGCGTGTGATGGCGGACAGGAGCGAAAAAGAGCCCCGCCATGCGGTTGCAAAACATTTCTTCCGTGAACGCATCTCCCTAATTAGGTGCTCATTGCGTCCACGGTAGTGCTGAATGAACAGGTTGTCCATCGACTCCTCACATGTCAGCTCACCGCCCGTTGGCTTCTTGTGCTCACAATACATGTGGGGAACTCCGACGTACGCCTTGTCACCCATACCATATTCAAAAGGGTATAGCTGAGCTAGGAACTCCTTCGCGTACCAATGCTGTGCCGAATCATGCCGGACACCCATGAAGAGCCCATTGTAATCGATTGGGAAACCGCACATGGTGATTGTATAGTCAAACTTTAGCACGTACTCCTTGTACTTGCCTGATCTCACACACCGCTGGAGAAAGCGATTTTTGGGGCAGCAAATTGTCAAAGGAGCACCATCTTTGATCCACAGCACACGCTCGTGATGGAACTCAGTGTGGTTGTACTCCCACAGTCGCAGTGCCGGATCGAGGAAGTTCACGTGCCGTGCGAGGGAATAGATTGTCGGCCGGACCTGCTCTGAGAATGTGCCATAGCTGATGCCAATGTTCTTCATTTCGTGCTGAGTAGGATATCCCACTGCATAGTGCAAAGGTAATTAACTTCGACTGCCCTCACCCTTCACGACCCCCCCCTCCGACCAGCACGCTTTTGTTTACTCAGTAGTATTTTGACCTTACGCGTTCCTAGGTTTGTCTCTCGCGCCGTTCCCAGTTTCCTATTTATTCGCGCGCCGCGTCGGCACTCCTATAAAGTTTAACTATCTCTCGCTGGGACAGCGCTCAAAGTCGCGGTCGCGTTTGGCACGCACAGCTCTCGCAGGTCCGCCCGCGCAGCTGTCACCCTCCTCCCTCGCCGCCCTCGCCGCCGCCGCCCTCGCCACCGCCCACTCTCACCACAGCCACCCTCACCGCCCTCGCTGCCACCACCCTCGCCACCGCCACCGCCGCTGCCCTTGCTTGCCGCCCGACCGCCGGACGACTGCTCGTCGCTCACGCCTTTGCTCGCCCGCAGGACAGCGACAGTGATGAATCCTTATGGTGCCCAAGGTGGCAAACAGAAGAGCGCCGATCGGGTGCGGCCCTCAGAAGCAGAGACCGTGGTAATCAACGTTGCGCTTTGGCTTCGGATGTGCCGCGCTGGCGCGGGGCCAATGCAAATTGCGAATCTAAGGGAGTCAGTGAGCAGATTATTGCATACCAGTGGCTACACCAATCAGCTCTGGCCAACCGAGCCCATCCGCCGTGATGTCTTGATGCTCTGCACGCACGAGATCCCCCAAAAGACGCTGCACGAGATCTTTCAGCTGCACTTTGCGCCGCTCCGGCACTCTCCCTCCAGACAGGAGAGGGATGCAGAGAGACAACAGCTATCTTTCCAGCTTGTGCAGGTGTCAATCTTCTCTGCTCTTGTCTTCCGCTGCGACAGTGTGCACTCCTTTGACGATGTCATGAATGTTTTGGTACAAGCAAACCTCGACAACGTGCTGTCGTCGCCGCAATTCGGCGGGTATTCAGACTGGTCAACAGAGACCTTCTTCAACTTTGAACTTTGGGGCGAGCTTGGTTCCACAAGAGAGGGGCTCTGTGCCTATGTATGCCCCAGCCCCAGCAGCCCCATTCATGTCCCACACCTCCCCTCCTTCATTGATTGCTGTCCTCTCTTCAGGTGATTGAGCAGCTGCGAGACCTGCGCCTCAGCATTGAACCATCCATTGAACCATCCCAATACCATCTGTACAAGCTTACCAAGGGTGGCAAATGCACTCTGAATCAGCAGGGCCAGAGCAGACAACCAGTTGCAGTGGGAATGCCTCTGCATGGCGAGCATGATCCTCCTCCCAAGCGCAGCAAGTCTCCCGCGGGCATGGGTGGGGGCACCCCTACCCCTACCCCTACCCCTACCCCTACCCCTACCCCTACCCCTACCCCTACCCCTACCCCTACTACCCTACCCTACTACCCTACCCTCCTACCCCTACCCGCCCCCCT